AAAAAAAAATTCACTGTTATTGATGCATAGTTTCGAAAAGTTGCTGTTTTGTATCTGCTTTTCCTCCAACTCACTCTGTCCTCAACACTAAACCAAAACTTTGATGCCTTCCGGAATGGAAAACAAAAATCATCCCCCACCCCTCAAATGCCAAAACCTCCTCAATAATGTTAAACTCTGACATACACTAAAGTCCTCAAACATTTCTCTTAAATCCTCTAATAGTGAAGAAATCAGATATGTCTTCAAATGTCATATCTAGACACCACTTAATTGCTTTCATCAAGCCTGGGCAAGCTGAATAATCTAAACAGGGTATAATCAAAGCCTTTTGACTTGAACAGAAGAGGCAATAAAAAGATGTTATATAATTGTAACATTTAGTTACCTCCTATACATGAAAAGCCATACTTTCCCTGAATTCTAAATTTAAACTATAACTTAACAGAAATAAAGATACTTTATATACTTAAATTCAATATGAACTAGGATTTCTAGTCTAAACTAGAATATGATACTACTAAATTTATATTTTTTCCTTTAATATTCTCATTCCATCATTTCAAACTAGGTTATTAAATAGCAAACCCAACCAAGTGTGGTTAGTTAAATCAACATGAAACAGAAAGAATTCCTACAGAATAAAAGAAATGGAATTACTATTTTTCCTCCTACTTTTCTTATGGAAGATCTCCTATTTATGTGGTACAAAGAGGTGACACCCTAAACATACATCTTGGAGAAACACGGATCTACCACTAAGTGTGGCAGATAATACTGCCCACAGCATACTATTCTCTTCAGCTATTCTCCAGTTACCAAGTGAAATCTAAGTTGAAGACACCTACAGGGCCTTACCACTGCACAGAATTTTCTGACAATGTACCCCATCCCACCCACCTTTGTTTATGGGCACCAAAAAAATTTTCCTAACACCCCCCATTTGCCTATTTGCCTAACAAATATTAGGTAAAAGTCAGATATCTGCCTATTCATCCACTCCTATATACACACTTCTAAGAATCACAGGATGAATTGAAAACAAAGCAAGTATCTATCAAGAGTGAAATGGATAAAAGATTTTGGTATAGTCATACAATGGAATGTCACACACCAGTGAAAATGAATGAACTTTACTTTAACAAAAAACATGAGTGGATCATAGACAAATGTTAAACAAAAGAGGCAATACCAAAGAATACACATAGTAAGATTCCTTTTATATGAAGTTCAAAGACAACATAAACTAGACTGCTTACAGAATACACATATAGAACAAAACAACAATAAAAAGAAAGGAAATGATTATCTGAAAAATCAGGGCAGACCCATACATCTACGGTTAATTGATTTTTGACGAGGGCGTCAAGATCACTCGATGACGAAAGAACAGTCCCTTCAACATGTGGTGCTGAATAATCACAGTCAAATGAATAAGACTGGACCTCTACCTCACATGATACACAAAAATTAACTCAAAATGGATCAAAGACCTAAGTGTAAGTGCTAAAACTGTAAAACTCTTTCTTTGAAGAAAACATAAAAGAAAATCTTCATGACACTGGATTTGATAATGGATTCTTACATATGCTACCAAAGGTATGAGCAACAAAAGATAGATAAATTAGGACTTCATCAAAATTAAAAAACTTTGTGCATCAATGGACATTATCAGGAAAGTGAAGACAACCCACAGAATGGGAGAAAATATTTATAAATCACATATCTGATAAGGGTCTAGTATCCAGACTAAAGAACTCTTACAAATCACTAACAAAAGACAACTCATTTTAAAAATGGGCAAAGAAGATATACAAATTCCAGAGAAGATATTCAATGGCCATAAGCATATTTAAAGATTCTTGAAATCATTTGTCATCAGGAAAATAGACATCGAAACCACAATGAAATACCACATCACACCCACTAGGATGACTAATCAAGAAGACAGGTAATAAGTAGTGTTGGTGATGATGAGGAGAAACCAGAACCCTCCTTCTTTAGTGGGAACATAAACTGGTGCACATACTTTGGAAAACAGTCCGACAGTTCCTCAAATGACTAAACACAAAGTTACCATATGGCAGTCCCACTCCTAGGAATACTCCCAAGAGAAATGAAAACACATGTCCACATAGAAATTTGTACATGAACTTTTTTCTTTATAGTGTATTTCTTTCATTGAAAGCATTTTAAAATAGCATATATGGTACAAGATTGCTGCGCCAAACACTTTTTGTACAGTTTTTTTTGTTTTCAATAGTTTTCTACACTGATTATAAAAATAATACATAGCCATTTTGTAAATTTTGCAAAAATGTATAATATTTGAAATAATATTTCAATCATTTTAATTTAAAATTATACCATAGCATATTTTAATATTATTCAAAAGCTTGTTTAAATATAACATTAAATGGCTATATAATATTCTATCATATGGACCTTCCATAATCTTTTCTTAAGTTGTGATAAAAAAAAA